CAGCGGATGAGCGACGAGGACATCCACACCTTCATGCTGCAGGTCTCGGGCGACGCCGACGAGGAGGACCTCGCCACGTTCAACAGTGCCATGGCGGCGAGCTCCGATGTGAAGATCAAGGAGGAGCCCGAGACAGAGACGATGAAGATGGCCAAGCGCGTCGAGGAGCTTCGGGCTGGTGTGCAGGATAAGCTTCGCGTGTACCATGACATGCACGTCGATGCCAAGGTGATCAAGACTAAGATCGGAGCATCTTCCGACAATGGTAAGTACTCTGAGACCTTCGTGAAAGACCTCGACAAGCATATTGCGAAGCTTGCGAGGGCCACCAAAATCCTGGACAGGATGTGCACCGAGGAGGTGAACGACACTGAGCTGCCGAAATTGATCAACACCTTGGATGCCATTGACAAGGAGGACGTTTCCATCAAGGAGTGGGCCGTCAGGTTCAATGCCTACACCCCGAAGCCGACTGGGGAGGGTGGCAACAAGCGCAGGAGGACCAAGAGGGAGTGAGGCGTGACAGTATGTCTCATCAAAGTTCGGGGTATCTTCAGCCGCAGGGAGTTCTGCACTTCAGTTTCTTTGCTTGGGGAGGAGAGTTGTTCTGAAGCGCAGTTGCAATCACGTTTTCTCTTGAGCTGGCTTGGAGCTGGCCGTTCGCTCGCAGCCGTCCGCTTACCTGCAGGCGCAAAACGCACTGAACTTTCAACACTGAGTGCAAGCATTGTGCAAGCACTGTTTAAGCACTGTTTGGGGACCCGTAGGGCTACAAAAACCTTAGTGCAAGCTCTGTTTAGGTACCGATCGCAACAATTGCAACCCGTGCAAGAAACCCTTAGTGCAAACGCTGTTTAGGGGACCTGTATACAAACAAGACTGACACGGCAACCCGAAGAGACATATAAAATGAAATACCAAACGAATCCACATGAAATGAACAAACGATGTTTAGGGGACCTGTATACAAACAAGACGGACACGGCAAACTGAAGAGCCATATAAAATGAAATGCCAAACGAATCCACATGAAATGAACATCACATCACATGAAATCCAACCTGCAACGAGCTTTATGGCATGCAAGACAAACATAAAATGCCAAATGAAATACCAACTGAAACATGCATCCCCGTCCCTCTACCACCCACTCCGTTGCCCATAATTCTGGTTCACAGTAATTGGCAAGGCATCCCAGCGATGCTGCTGTGCATTTTTCCTTGTCGTGCTGAGAGGCACGCCACTTTCGAGATGCATGGATAGAAAGGGCGGTGTCAGACGACGTTTCGAACAGCTTGCTGAGGATGCGCGTGCTGACGATCATGAGCCCGAGCTTTCGGAATCAAAGATTCGAGGAGGCGTCCGCCAGAGATCATCACGGAGTGCTGTGTCAAATGAGCCATCTCCTGAAGCTGGACCGTTCAGTCGCACCATGCGCAAGGACTGGGCAACTGGCACCCTATCGTCAGCTAAAGTTCAGGAATATGCATTCGCAGCCCAGCAGCAAGGAGCCGAGGGGTTGGACAATTTAGCAGCAGTTGGTACATATGGGAAGTGGCCTCAAAACCTTCTAAGAGATTTGAAAAATCTCTTCGGCTACCCGCTCGGCTCGCCACCCATTGACTGGGTCGAAGTACCAATGAAGCATGGCAGGAAGATCGCACATCCAGTTATATTCCCTCACAAGTTTTTCATGGAAATGTGTGCTAGGCGGAGAGACGTGTGGGATCAGAGAATCGTCGGCCTTGATGGTGGCCTCGTGGCCTTCTGGGAGTCGATGGCCCACTCCCGTTTCGTGCAAGAGCATCCACACCTGCCACGCGATATATGGGATAGAACTGTTCCGATCGGATTTCACGGAGACGGAGGGGCATTTTGTTCTGCCGACTCCATGTACGGTTTGGCATGGAACAGCCTTGTCGCAGCAGGCACAACAATTCAGACGCGGTTCTTGTTCACAGTGTGCCGCAAATCTGACATGACGTCGGATACGCTTGATAGTTTGCTCAGGATATTTGGATGGAGTTGCAATGTGATGCTTAGTGGTCAGACTCCATTCGTTGACTGGAACAATCGGGCGTTGGAGGGTGGAGGTCAAGATCTGGCGGCAGGATTCCGTGCCTGCCTCTGCCAGATCAGAGGCGATTGGTCTTTCTACAAAGAGGTCTTTTACTTCCCCCAGTGGAACCAGAGCGACATGATGTGCCCTTTCTGCCGAGCAAGTTCTGTCGACATGCACAGGTGTTGGACTAATGTGGCTCAGGATGCAGGCTGGAGGGCCACGAGATGGACTCACGAAACGTATATTCGTCACCGACTTGCAGCAGGTCTTGCGATACCCGTTCTATTCCTAGTTGTCCTAGGCCTCAGGCTCGAGTGCGTTACGGTGGACGTCCTTCACACCGTCGACCTCGGGATCGCGGCGCACATTGTTGGGAATGTGATTTTCCACGTGGCTGTGAAAAAGAACGCGTTCAGAGCACCGACTTACGATGCAAGAGTCAAGATGTGCCAGAAAAATTTGGTGGAGTGGTACAAGGCTACACAATGTACTTCGAGATTGCATGGGGGGTTGACCCTCGATCGGCTTCGCTCGACTGGCGGCAACTGGCCAAAACTTGCTGGCAAGGCCGCCGCCATGCGAAAGCTGTCTAACTACGCCCTACAACTCATCTCAACCCATGCTGATATGGATGACGAAACGGACAGAATGGTGATAGGAGTTTCTCAATGTCTAGTGCGATTTTACACGCTACTCGAGGACGAGTCTCAGTTCATGCGGCCTGATGCTCAGACTGCAATCGCCGAGACGTGCGAGCAGCTTGTTTCAATATACGCTAAGCTTTCTGCGATGGCTTTCAGGGCAAAAGAAAAAACATGGAAAATGAATCCAAAGCTGCATCTGTACATGCATCTTTGCGTGGACCAGATTCCCGAAATCGGCAATCCAAGATACTTTTGGACGTATGGGGACGAGGACCTCGTCGGAAGATTGATCTCGATTGCGGAAGGCCTACACCCCAGGACTGTCGCAGTAAACACACTTTTCAAGTGGATGTGGTGCGTTTTCGACGAGGTACTGCTCCCAGAGACCGAAGAGTTCAGGAGGTGAAAAAAACAGCTAAAACAAGAAAACAACACATACGCAGTCCACAATCACACACACACACAACACACACACACAAAAGCTATATACAAGGCTTCTCGCCTACCCCGCCGACACAATGGCTTGAGCCAGAACGGCTACGGACTCCTCCTCCTCCTCCTCCTCCTCCTCCTCCTCCTCCTCCTCCTCCTCCTCCTCCTCCTTTTTCCAGCCGAGTTAGTTTTTTACTTCGCATTTTGCGTGCCTCCTCATCCTCCTCGGCCTCGTCCTCCTCCTGCTCTTCCTCCTCCTCCTCCTCCTCCTCCTCCTCCTCCTCCTCCTCCTCTTCCTCCTCCTCCCTTTCCCTCCTCCCTCGCCCTCCTCCCTCCTCCCTCCTCCCTCCTGCCGTCCTCCCTCCTTGCCGCACTGTCGCCTGAGACGTCCTCAGAATTTACTCAAGCATTGCACTCTCGCTCGAGATTGGTGAAAACGTAATCATGCATATCAGCATGTGGATCACTATCGATATTTATTGAAGATCTTCCACACACCTTATATTATCGAGATAGATGAGCGAGTGGGCGGACTGACCCCGGACTGACCCTGGACTGACCCCCGGACTGACCCCGGACTGACCCCGGACTGACCCCGGACCGACCCCGGACTGGCCCCGGACCGACCCCGGACCGACCCCAGACCGACCCCGGACCGACCCCGGACCGACCCCGGACCGACCCCGGACTGACCCTGGACTGACCCCGGACTGACCCCGGACTGACCCCGGACTGGCCCCGGACTGGCCCCGGACTGGCCCCGGACTGACCCCGGACTGACCCCGGTCTGACCCCGGACTGACCCCGGACTGACCCCGGACTGACCCCGGACTGACCCCGGACTGGCCCCGGACTGGCCCCGGACTGACCCCGGACTGACCCCGGACTGACCCCGGACTGACCCCGGACTGACCCCGGACCGACCCCGGACCGACCCGGGACTGACCCCGGACCGACCTACCCCTAACTGACCCCGGACCGACTTCGGACTGACCCTGGAGTGACCCCGGACTGACCCGGGTCTGACCCCAGACATACAGAACGTTGTGTTTAGTATTCGAGTCCCGGCTCGGTAAAACTAGACTCGGTAAACTTAGATCTCGGCTAAACTAGGTCGCAATCTGATGTCTAATTTTAACGAGTGGAGAGTATTCGCCTTACTTTCTCAGCTCCTTTGATGCCGATTTCCGCCCTACTTTGCCGTCGCTGTTTCTGCCATGGTTTCGCAAAGATATCCGCCCTATTTTTCTGAGGCGGGCAGTGCCGCTCTACATTATCGCATCGTTTGGAGTGCAGTTCCAACAGAGTTGTGAGTCGGAAAATCAACACAAATGCGGCGGATCTGGAGCCAGGGTTTCCCTCAAGACCCGTTTCCCCCGTGGCGATCATCTTCCCTCGGTGGAGGCAGCCGCCAGTAATAGTGCTGGTGCCAACCTCCAGGCTTAGGTCGGGTATGTCCTCCTGCAGGCGGAGCTTGGAGGATAAATCATACTTAGTCAAACAACCGAACCAAATACAAAGAGCACGACAAATCGTCACCATACTATGTTAAACTATTCTTGAATATTCTCCCATGTAGAGGGACATGCCAGACTGAACTCTAGGCCTCCGAGCTCTGCTCGGACTGAGGCCGCCCAGGTCTCCCAGAGGAGGAGGATGAGGAGGAGAAAGGAGGAGGAGGAGGAGGAGGAGGAGGAGGAGGAGGAGGAGGAGGGCGAGGAGGAGGAGGAGGAGGGCGAGGAGGAGGAGGAGAAGGGCGAGGAGGAGGAGGGCGAGGAGGAGGAAGAGGAGGAGGAGGAAGAGCAGGAGCTGGAGGAGGAAGAGGGGAGCCTTGCTGGACCCAGGCTCCCCCCCGCGCGGTCCATGCACTGGACGAGGCCCTTCGCCCGCGCGAGGAGCAGCTGGTCACCCCACACTCCCCAGATGCGGTCGAGGCCCGCGTCCTGGGGCGCCGACGCAGGCAGCAGCCGCGAGGAGGATGGCGCTCGGAGCAACGGCCGCGTGTGATGTCCCAGCCCTGGCTGCGGACCCGCCGTACTTTTGCTTGACCTTCCGATGCCGTGAGTGTGTCGGAGATGCACCCCAGACTATACAAGCAAGCAGGGTGGAAGTTTCCGCCTCAGAAAAGTAAGGCGGATGCTTCAGCAAAAGAATGGCAGAAACAGCGAAGGTGGACAGACATCGGTTTCAAAAGAGCTTGAAAAGTAGGGCGGGGACTTCCGCCCTACTTGCGAAATCGCCCAAATTAGTTACGGCGGGTCCAGTGGCAGGGTTCGCGTCGTGAAGCAATCGCGACGGAAGCCTTTTGACAAGTTTCACCCCCCCAGGCCCTTGTCGGGCCCTGGGACCGATCGGGACCGTCGGGATGGAAGTCGGTCCCCAGGCAAGGGTAGAGAATCATGGGGTCCACGCTGTGAAATACAAACCACGACGTCGGAGGTCAGGGTCAACCGCAGCGCGAGGGGCGCGCCCCAATCTGGTCGAACTGAGTTCCCAAGAGCGAAAGCCGACGCTTACGCGGCATCGGAAGCCACCTCAACTCTCGGAAGCGTCCAAGAAGGAAAAGGAAGTCGCAGATCATGGCCGGAAACATGTGCGCGGAAAAAGGGGTTGCCAGGGGGCGTGCTGAAAGAAGAATAAGAAGAAGACAAGGAAAACCAGTAACAAGAAACATACGAATGATCAGAATAAGAAGAACAACGCGAACACTGATAATAATAGTAACGATACTACTCATAAAACTAAGAATATAACACTTACTACTACTATGATAATGCAAACATAACAATACGAATAATACCAACGGTGACAATACGTATACTATTGAGAAGACGAAGAAGAAGCATAATAATAATAATCATAATACTATTACTAAGAATAACAAGAAGACACAGATGGGATCATGAAGCCCGGGGGGGCGTCATGGCCCCAGCAGTGATGTCCACCCCTCCCCTGGTCCCCGCCCGCCACTCCCTGGACGCCCCCGCGGCTCCGCCAGGCACTCCGAGGTGGGCCCCAGCAGCTTCGCGGGGACACGACTGCCCACAGGAGAGCGAGGCTGCGCGCGCGCGTGCGTAGAGAGACAGGTGGCGGCGCGACCGGGGGCGGGAAGCGAAGGAGGAATGTGAGGAAGAGGAGGAGGAGGACGAGGAGGAGGAGGAGGAGGAGGACAAAGAGGGGGAGGAGGAGGTGGAGGAGGAGGAAGAGTATGAGGAGGAGAAGGTGGAGGAGTAGGAGGAGGAGGAGGAGGAGGAGGAGAAGGAGGGGGAGGAGGAGGAGGAGGAGGAGGAGGAGGAGGAGGAGGAGGAGGAGGCGAGGAGGAGGAGGAAGAGGAGGAGGATCCCACGCCACTGAAGGGCGCACGTCTTTGTCTAGGCCGCGCTGGCCGCGCCGCCGCCGCCGACGGCCCCCGCGGGGCCAGTCCTCAAGTCCGCCTCAGTGGAGAGCACCTGGCTGGCGGGAGAGGCCGCACTCGCGTCGCCGACCAAGCCCATCGTGAACTCGACCACAGGCGAAACCTCCACGATGCCCATCGATGGGAACCCCACAGGACCAGTGCCAGCATCCGTGGGCCCCAACTCACCCTCATCACGACGGCCAGAATCATCTCCTTGGGGTTCCGCTTCTTCAGCGAGCGGTACTTGGACTCGACCAAGACTCCCATGGTCCACACCACCACGAAGAGGATGCTCACCCGCTCCAGGGAGAGGCACAGGAGCTTCAGCGGCAGGACCAGCCCCTCCACCTCCAGGGAGATCATCAGCTTCCCCTCCATCAGGAACACCTGCTCTCATGTTTGCCTCGGCAGTGGGCACCTGGTTGGCGTTGCTGTCGAGAGAGGCCGCGCTCGCGTCGCCGTCCATGCCCCTCGTGATCTCGAGCACAGGCGAAACCTCCATGAGGCCCAACGAAGGGCACCTCACAGTGCCAGAGCCAGAGTCCGTGGGCTCCAACTCACCCGCATCATGACGGCCAGAATCATCACCTTGAGGCACCGCTTCTTCTGCACGCAGTACTTGAACTCGACCAGGACTCCCGCGGCCCACGCCACCATGAGGCGGTAGCTCACCACCGCCGAGAGGAAGCGTAGGAGCATCAGCAACAGGACCAGCTCCTCCACCTCCAGGGGGATCATCTGCTTCACCATCATCAGAAACACCTGCTCTCATGTCCGCCACGGGGGTGAGCACCTGGTCGACGTCGCTGTCAGGAGGGGCTGCACCCGCGTCGCCGTCCAAGCCCCCCGAGGACTCGAGCACAGGCGAGGCCACAACGACGGTCAACGGAGGGCACCCCGCAGGACCAGTGCCAGCGTCCGTAGGCCCCAACCCACCCGCACCATGGTGTCCAGGATCTTCCACTTGAGGCGCAACATCTTCTGCAATATGTACTTGAACACGCCCAGAACTCCCACCGTCCACACCTTCACGAGGAGGAAGCACACCACCGCCAGGTAGAGGCACAGAAACATCAGCGGCAGGTCCAGCCCCTCCACCTCCAGGGAGAACCTGAGCTTCACCTTCATCAGGAACACCATCAGACTCAAGAGGAGCATGCTCGCCACCGCTAGGAAGAAACGCAGGAGCATCGGCAACAGGACCTGCCCCTCCACTTTCAGGATGATAATCATCTTCCCCTGCATCAGGAACACCTTTCCTCAGGCCCGCCTTGGAGGTGGGCACCTGGTTGACGACGCTGTCGGGAGAGGCCGCGCTCGCATCGCCGTCCGTGCCCCCTGTGAATTCGAGCACAGGCGAGGCATCCACGAAGGTCAACAATGGGCACCCCGCAAGACAAGTGCCAGCGTCCGTGGGCCCCAACTCACCCGCACCATGGTGTCCAGAGACTCCCACTTGAGGCGCAGCATCTCCTGCTAGATGTACTTGGACACGACCAGGACTCCCACGGTCCACACCTTCACGAGGAGGAAGCACACCATCGCCAGGTAGAGGCACAGGAACTTCAGCAGCAGGTCCAGCCCCTCCAGCTCCAGGAAGAACCTCAGCTTCACCTTCATCAGGAACACCACCACCAGGGGGGTCATCTGCTTCACTTTCATCAGGGACACCTCCAGCCACATGTGGTACGGCTGCCACACCCAGTGGAGGGCTGCGACCACCTCCAGGAAGATCATCGGCTTCACCTTCATCAGAAACACCTGCCATCAGGTCCGCCTCGGCTGGGAGCACCTGGTTGAAGCCGCTGTCGGGAGCGGCCGCGCTCGCGTCGCCGTCCATGTCCACCGTGAGCTCGAGCATAGGCGAGACCTCCACGACGGTCGACGAAGGGCGCCCCACAGGACCAGTGCCAGCGTCCGAGGGCCCCAACTCACTCGCACCATGGTGGCCAGGATCTTCCACTTGAGGCGCAGTATCTTCTGCTGGAAGTACTTGGGCATGACCAGAACACCCATGGTCCACACCATCGCGCAGAGGACGCACAGGTGGTTCAGCGGTAGGTCCAGCCCCTCCACCTCCAGGGGGAAGATCAGCTCCATTCTCATCAGGAACACCCTCAGCCTCGAGCGATACGGCAGCGGCGACCAGAGGAGGGCTGCAACCTCCTCCAGAGCTGAGGGTGTCCACACCGTCGTCATCTTCCACTGTTCCAGCATATGGATCAAAAAGGTCATGACCTTCGACGGCAGGGAGAAGAAACGCAGCAGGGTGACGAAGCATCCAGGAGGAAGAGGAGGAGGAGGAGGAGGAGGAGGAGGAGGAGAAGGAGGAGGAGGAGGAGGAGGAGGAGGAGGGGGGGAAGAGGAACCTTCTCAGGAGGCGGCGGGGCTTGTCAGAAGCCCTCCGGCCTTCTGAGAAATTTGCCGGGCCTTCCCCGAAAGAACAGAACGCTTCTCAGAAGGCCAGAGGGCTTCTGAGAAGCCCCGCCGCCGTTTTGTGAAGTCCTGCCCCCTCTCGCTCCCCCCCCTGGCACGAGTGAGGGAGGCACGAACCCTTGTCCAGGACGACTCGCCGAGCGGCTGCCGCCCCTCAACGACCACGCGCGCACAGGGAGGAGGAGCCGACACCTCTTTGCAGGCGAATGGAGGAGCAGCGTGGAAGAGATCAGGGAGACAACACGAAAGACGAACGATCGACGGACGACAGACGGGACAACGGCCCGGCCGAACCGAGCTCGTAGAATTGGTGGCGATGGCAGTAGCGGTCGTGGCCAAAACCTGCACTCCCAGCCTGCGTCCATAGCCTCACTGACCGCAAATATCTCTCCGAACACGCCCCTCTAGGTATCCAAGCGTCGGCCGTGTCTGAGCTGTGCCGTGACGATCTGGATTTCTCGGGCTATGGATTCTGGCGTCTGCTCACACGGTGCTGCGAGAAGCAGGGGCGGGACGCATAGGCCAAGCGATCATTCTAAACCTCATGGTTCGTCGTACAAACCTGCAAAGCCATCCGCCATGCCAGACAATGGTGTCACGATTTTGTCGCTAACGAGCAAGAGCTGTATCATTCTTGTCTCCCAAATCATACGGGTCCGATGTCAGGTGCCCACTTTGTTTACTGACTGTCTTGTTCCTGGCTCCGTGTCTTCGGCCCTAGCCCTTCGCTTGGCATTTGCAGTCGCTAATCATGCGTGCTCGAAGCTTTTGAGGTCACATGCATTCGAGCTCCATGGTTTCGCCTACCTGCCACACGGCTTGCAGCAAGAGCAGCCACATAACGACACTGAATGCGGCCCTCTCTATCGCTTGCGTCGGGCTTCTTCACCAAGCTTCTGTCCAAAATGTCGGCACCACTCACTGCAACCTACATTCAATTCCGGATTGTGCCTGCTTGAGCGCTCGCCCCGAATTGGCCGCGCCCTGGCCGCGCTGCAGGATGAGCCCGTGCAAGCACGCGCTTGTTTCGCGCCCCGGGCCGCTAAAGCGGTTGGGAGACTGGCAGGTCGAGGCTGGCATGGTCTGCTGGCATGGTCTGCTGGCATAAAAGCCTGCCATCGCTCGGACGCCCATTTCCCATGCATTTTTCGGTTTCGTGTGTGTGTGTTTTTTGCTCGATGGTCCAGGATGGTCCTCAATGATTCTCGCAGAGAAAGAATGCACACGTCCGAGCGATGCCAAGAAGCGGGTGCTGAGGGTCACAGGTCCTGAGCCCCGGCGCTTTCCCCAGGGCCAGCTCTCCAACGTGAGCCGCTCTTTTCTCAGGACCCGCTTCTCTCGTGGCGACCTCTGATGCGAGGCGAAGAAGGGTTCGACAGACAACGCACGCCGTTCGGGCGTGGGGAGGGGGAATGGGGCAATGAACGCGGGGGTGAAGAAATGCGCACCTTCCGTGCCCCTTCGGGGCCCCAGGGAGCGCTGATCTGATGTTCTCAATCCGCGGGCCCTGAAGGCCAGACCCACTCCCCGCGGGCAGTTTTGCGTCCTGGGTGCATGTTTGATGGCACCCCCGAAGGCGGCCCCGGGCGGCAGAAATCAAGGAAAGCACTTGGATTGAACGAACAGATCATGTCGTCAGATGTCTGGGTTACTTCGCACCCCCGTTACGAAGCTCGGCCCTTGCTTGATGGGCAGCAGAAAATGTACACCTTTCTTCACCCGTTTATCTTAGCCGACGAAGAACGGTATCAAATCAACTTTTCCACCGCCAGGGACGCCTGCCCCACGTCGGCTGCAAAACTTATACCCCGACGCGCCACCGTAAGGGTAGAAACTTTCCAGCCGCCCTGGGGCAGGCGTCCCTGGCGGTGGACCAGTGCACTGCTTTACGGTTTTTCGTCTGCTAACTGTCGCCCCCCATGCCTAAAAGCCCGAGAATAGGGGAACGAATAACGACTCAAACATAAAACTCGAAGGTCCGCGCGGACCTCCGAGGTTTCATGTTCATGTCATTCTTCGTCCCCCTAGTAACCAGCCGCACCTTGGCAGCTGCAGTTGGCAAGCAGCGGCTCGTGCCGGCGCTGTTTCTTTGTCTTCGCCGAGATACCCGATTGCTCACTGGCGACAGCGCCCAGGAACGGCAACTCCGCGCGGACCTCCGAGCTTTTAGGTTCACGTCGGCCTTCGCTCCCCCAGAGAAGCGCCCGAGCCGCCATGCCAGCACGCGGCCCCTGCACGCGAGGGCGCGAGAGGGGCCGCGGCGGGCCGCGGGGCCGTCCTTCGTGTAGTCGCTGTGGACGGGGGGCGCGCCGCTGGCGAACACGGGCGGACCTCGGGGCGGCGAGGGGGTGCGGAGAACGAGCGGACGAAGTGCCGTACGCCGGAGCGCGTGGGCACAAGACGCTGCCAGCCTTCTCTCACCGCTCTGCGGGAGCGGCTGCGAGGCGTCTGCCTCTGATTTAAAACATGCCACGGGATGTCTTGGCATGTCTTGGCCGCGTGGCCGATACGACTTTGGCCCACGGAGAAAATACAACGCAGAAGCCATTGACAGATGAGGCCTCGGCCGCCCAGAAATACGACGCTCCGAAAAATTGGAAAGGCGGGTTTTGAGCTGCTTTTGGCCTCAGGAGGCCCTCGCTGGGCCCCAGTGACCGTCCAACAAAAAATCATGACGAAAAGCCGGCACTGAGGAACTGGTCCAAACCTCCGGGGCACACGCATCGAAAAATTGTGAGCGGCCAGATATATGATATATGGGAGGAGGAGGAGGAGAAGGAGGAGGAGGAGCAGGAGGAGGAGTGCACGTGCCGTGGGGGTTGCGCGTGCTTGTCGGAGGTGGATTGGGGAAGTTCTCGGCCTTTCTTGCCGTCTCCGAGCTTTAGCCTCCTCTGGCCGCGAGCTCCAGGCTGCTGCAGCTTTGCTTCCCTCGGATCGCCGCGGGCCGCTTACGCTTCGGGCGCGTGCGACCTGCAGCCTGCGCAAGAGAGAAAGTGCAAGTACCCGAGGGGGGGCCGCGTGTCCTGGACACTTTTCATCGACCAAGGGCGGCGGGCTGCTGGAGTGCTGGGAGGCCACGGCAGCCCTCGGCTCCAGCGTCCGTGCCTCCCCCCCCCTAACGCCCCGCTCTCTGCGTTATGTCAGGGGAGATCAGGATGTGGGCGGAAGGAACGGAAACGAGGGCCATGACCAAAACTGAACGCGGAAATGTCAGTGCCGGTCTTGGCTACCGTCATCGTCAAATTGTGGATCATCCCCGCGAATTGGCGACGGACGGCATGGACCATGACCAAGTTCGGCGTCGACCAGATCCCGCGACATATCGGTCATGGTCACCGTGCTTCTCCCACTCGAACGGGGGAGAACATATCAAAATAACAAAATAAAGAGAGAGATGGAACAAAAAGCGAGAGACATTCAAAACGTGCTGCTGCAACTCCGTGGCAGGTGCAGTTTCTCCGGCGTGCGAGAAAGAGCGAGAGAGAGAGAGAGAAACAAAAAAAGGTCAGAGAGGGAAAGAGACAGAGAGAGAGAGAGAAACATAGAGAGAGAGAGAGAGAGAAATAAAGAAAGAGAAAAAGAGAGAGAGAGAGAGAGCGTGCAGTTGCGGAGTGCGCGCGCGCATCCCACCCCCCCAAGAAGATTGTTCCTGGTGGGATGCTCCTGTGCGCGCTACGCGATGCCCGTGACCCAGCCGCCCCACCCTGCCTCGGCTGCGCCCGAAGAGTCAGCTCCCGCCTCGCGTGCGACCCACCACGCAAACACCACTCCAAAGGGGGGAGAGCACGCCGGAGAGCCCGTGGAAAACTATAGAAAAAAATATGAAAACTCTCGAGTGTAATTTTTTTCGCGGGCGTCCCCCGCAAAGCCCGGGTGGACGGAGAATCCTTGAAAAACCGACACGCTTCCGATTGGATTTTTTCTAGGGTTTCCCCTCCGGAGCCTGGGGTGGCCAGAGGAATCCCCCCAAAAACACGCACCCCCCCCCACCCACACACACACGCAACAAAAAAAACGTGTTTCTGTTCGGCGGTATCCCCCCCCCCCCCCGAAGCCTGGGGTGGCTGGAGAATCCGTTGGAAAACACATGGAAAAAACCACTGGGAATTGTGTCATGTATTTTCCCTCCCGGAGCCTGGTGGGAGAGGGGCCGGAGGAACCCCTGAAAAACTTCAGACAAATCACCGAGTGGTGTTTTTCATGCGTTTTCCTCCCTGGAGTTTGGGGTGGCCAGATAGCCCTGGAAAAACACAGAATAAAGAGAGCGTTTTTCTTGGGTTTCCCCGCGGAGCCTGGGGTGGCCAGGGAATCAATGGAAATCTTCAGAAAAAAAACTGGAATGTTTTTTCTGGGCCCTTCCTTGGGTGGCCAAAAAACGCAAGAAAGGTTTTTCGAGGTCTTCCCCCCAGAGCCTGGGGTGGCCAGGGAACCCTCGAAAAATCTCTGGACTACAGTAAATCAACATGTGTTTTTTGTTTGAGGGTGCTCGCCTGAGGGGAGGGACCCGAGGGACCTCCGACAACCCCCCGCCCCGAAAAAGAGAAGAAACAATAATACAACCCACCGAACAACAAAAGCAAAACAACGAAAAACCTCCGAATGGGGAGTTGCTGGTCGGTTCGGGAAACTGCCGCGCTCTGCTGCGCTCCTTAACCTGAAGGCTCCACCTGACGAGGCCCCCGTCGTGAAGGCCCCGAACAAAACGACTCCAAAGCTGTGGGTCCCTCCAAGGACAAGATCGACATGCAGCCCTGGGAACCCCTCCTCGCGCACGCGAAGCGCATGCCCGGCATCACTGAGCAGAACTGTCTGGCTGAACTATTCAACTTTTGAACGTCTTTTAAGGCAGACGTAGAGAACAAGTCGGCTCCCTCGAGGACGCGACGCGGCAACGAAACATTGGCCGAACGGAACGGTGGAACACTCCCCGCGAAGTCGCCACCACCATAGCGAGCGTCAGAACGCAGAAGCATCCCGAGAGTTTCTTGCGCAGAAGGCTTTTCACTGGGTGGCAGGATAGCGCTGGCGGCCCCTCGAACTACTGTCAGAGCAGAGGCAGTGTGCTCACTACCAGGACGTCTACCAAGCTGGCCATCCACTCCGCCAAGAGAATGTACACCCAGCAGACTTCAGCCGTACGCCGATCGATCCAGTCCTGTCGACCGATACGCTGCGTGACACCACGCGAGAGCCTGCCCACCCACAGGGCGCGGCACTAGAGGCGAGGCAGGCAAGGACAGGCATGGGCGGATTTCTGTCATCTGGGCGGGCTTCTATCATCTAAAAGCATGCGGTGCAAGACCAAGTAAGTGCCAGATAAGAGTCCAAGAAACAACAACTTCGAGTGCACGTCTACACTCAGGAGGGAGAAGGCTCACTGAACGACGCGTTGCAGCCCAGGCCTCAGCAGCTTCTTCCTCGCCACCAGGGCAGCCTCCTGCCGAGCCTTCCGTCTCATCTAGGAAATCTGGATTTCTCCTTGGAGCTCTCTGGCGACATGTGTGGTAAGGGCGGGAGCAACCCCACAGTGAGGCGGCCCAGCCCCTGAAAGTATCTTTCCCATTTGGAACCTGGGCGGCCCTCCTCCAGCAACTGCGCTCGACGGACAAGCAGCTCGAAGGAGGCAAGAGACGATATGTCAAACTGCTCGCACACAAGCGCCCGCCCGATCATCTCCATTGGCGTGCTGTCTTTGCGCCTGACCCTGTTATTGTCCGGCGCATGGATGTCGCGCGTGATCCGAGCAGTGCGACTGCGAGGAACAAGCACCTGGCCCCTGATGAACCTGACCAGCCACTTCATGGCACGTGGGCTTCGGATGGGCCGGTCACCTCATGCGGGCTCTTCCACGAGCTGCACCGCCTCGTCGAACCTCCGATGGCACAGACCCGCCTCGTCATTGTCGTCATACGTCACCGCCAGCACCCTCGAGTCGGCAGAGTGTACGGGCCCGCCCGCTGCAGCCGTGCCACCAGCCAGTTTCGCCAGCTGCGCCGACGCGGTGCCGAAGGCCTGCACCTTCGCCTGGTTGAATTGGCCACGGCCACCGCCGACACCAGCTCCAACACCAGCGTCTGGGCACCGAACGCCTGGAAAGCAAAGTCGCCGTGCGCGATGGCCGCCGCATCCAGCGCCACGGCCTGCCCCAGGCTCGGGGCGCCTGCAGCACCGCCGTTTGCCAACGACACCCATCGTGCTCGCGGCGGCCCCCATGCCAGCGGCTGGCGCCGCCAGCGAAGCGCCCGCCGCACACGCAGCAGCGCCACCGGGAGCCCACGAGCCAGCGACAACGGGCGCCCCCGCTGCTCCTGCAGGCGCCGCAATGGTCTCTGGCGGCGCAGCCGCCGCGGGGGGGCCCCCGGGCTCGGCGGCTCGAGGCGGGGCCCCCACGGCTGCTGGCAGAACCGCCCCGGCGGCCGCTGCTGGCCCCAAGGGCGCCCTCACTCATGTCCCCGCATCCCAACCACTGGCCACGATCATATGTTTCGGAACGCCAGCGCAGAGGCACCTAGCTGATCCGCATCAGCCGCTGGCACTCCCGGGCCAGAGCAGGCCGAAGGGGCTGAGCATGTGCGACGCCGTGCACAATGATGTCGCTCCACTCGGCGCGCGCGTGAAGGCCATCGATGGGCAGGAATCGGTAGAGCAGCGCAATTCCGAGGCCATGCGGAACATGAATTTGAAAGGTCGGTCGTGCATCGAGCGCCGCGACGTCCTTCTCATAGACATCACCATCTGGGGTGAAGATCGCCCAGGTCGTCCCCTGCACTCGCACCATCACCAGGCTCTCGTGTCAGTAGACCTCGCCGCCCCCGTACCATGCCACAAGCGGCCCAGCGAGATCGGCCCTCCGTCCACCCTGGCGAAGACTGATGATCATGGCACACTGGAGGCGAAGCCGCCACCGCCCCGAGGAGCGAACCGAGGATGAAGACCAGCAGCAGCACGAAGAGCCCGAAGAACCGCTGGGGCCCTCGTTGGCACTCCTTACCCCCACGCGGGGGCGGCCAAGAGGGGGGCGCCCAAGAGGGGGGGGTGCAAATGATGGCCGGAGGCATGTGCGCGGCCCAGGGGGGGGAGCCAGAGACGCATTGAAATAAGAAGAGGCGCCGTGAAATTTGGGGAGATATCATGGCCCTCGCCATGATACCCCCCCCCAGTCATCACTCCCCTCTTGGCCGCCCCCGACCCACACTGCTCGCACTCCACCCGATGGAGCTGCGGGCCCGCGGCGGCGGCTCGGCAGCCCAGGCACGAGACCGCCAAGCACGCCAGCGAGGGCGAGCACGCGTTGCCATTGGCCCGCTGGCCCCGGATCAAGACGGCCTCGGTGGCCGCCCCGCAGACCAGCTCCGCAACGGCAGCCTGAACCAGCCCCTAGACAATCCAACGTGGACGGCCTGCAAGAGCTGAGGTCGCATGGGCCCCGATCCCGTGATAGGAGGCTGCACAGGGAGAGGGCGGATGCGAGACACGATGCGGTGACCACGCCCCCAAGAATCGTTTAATTGACACGGCATCCTGCTGGTGATGAAAGACGTGCACGCAATAGAATCATCAACATCATCACCGTCATCAAGAAGAGGAGGTGGAGAAGGAGGAGGAGGAAGAGGAGGAGGAGGAGGAGGAGGAGGAGGAGGAGGAGGAGGAGGAGGAAGAGGAGGAAGAGGAGGCCTGGTAGGACGGGGGACGGGGTGCAGCAGAAGACGGGCGCACTCTCCGCAAGCATGGCAAGCTCCTTTCGGGCGAGGGACCCAAGGCAACGCCAAGGGGGCCAGGTCCGTTTCCGAGGCCAGGCCGCGAGGAACAGGTGCCGCCGAGCCTACGCGCGGTGCGACCGCCAGCTAGGGGTGATAAGGCTTCAGCTTGCTGCGGAGACCCCCCAGGCAGTCCCACTGGCCTCAAGACACCCACCCAATTAGTCCAGGGCGCTCTCATTGCCCCAACCCTGGGGGGCGGAGCGCCCCAGGGGCGTCGCCAGAGGCGTCGACAGGATGTTGAAACCGCCCCAGGCTGGTGGGAGGTGCCTGTTGAGGCCAGCTGGGACTACCTCGGGGGGCTGCGCGCAACTCGAAGCCTTACCAGCTGTTGGCACGTCGCCTCTCGAGCGCACGCCGGGGCTTCCGGGGAGTACGCGGCACCCTTCTGGGCGCTGGGCCCTGGGCCATCTCCTTCCCCCTCAATCATCCAACCCTCCCTCCCTCCCTCCCTCCCTCACCTCAGATGCTGCTACTGGCGTCGACATGCCAAAGGATGCCCGGCCGGCCTCCGAAGGGCGCCCGTCCCCCCGACAGATCCAATTGCTGCGCATGCCCTGCAGGAGGCGCCCCAGGGTCCCCTCCTGAGCCTGCTCGGCGTCTGAGCCCACTCAGCGGCCGATTGGGGACGGGCTCGAGGTCATCGCTGCCCAACGCAGAGCAGGGAACGACCCAAACAGTGTTTGTCGTTTTCGTTTTGTTTTCGTTTTCCCTCGTTTTGTCTTCAATCCGCCTGTGCTGCAAACGAATTCGAAATGAAAACGGCCCACGAAATCGCCAAAACACCGTTTAGGTCGACGCCACGACCCAACTTCGCACCACCCTGTTGGAATTTGAGCCCATTCGGCGGCTCATTCGGCGGCCGAGCGGGCTCAGACGGGGACCCTCGGGGGGTGGTCGCGCCGTCGCTCTGGCTGTGCGGGCATCGGAGGAGGCGGGGCCACATCGGACCGGTCGGACGAAAAAAATCCAACTTCGCCGAAAGCCTGCCCTTCGGCACGCCTGGCAGCGGCTCCACGATCTCGAGGGTGCACCCTAGCAGGACGAAGCAGAGCAACAGCTCGCGGGCGAGGAAAAAGAGAGGAAGGCTACTGAGGATCAAGGCCGGGAACAACATATCACGGTGGCATCTGTGTTCTGAGTTTTCGGCGTCGTACCCTCCCGATTGCTCGCATCGTAAAAGTATGGCAGATCGGTTATCGCCCAAAACACCGGGCTTGTCAACAATTCAGATGAATAAATTTATGATGTGTAGCAAAAGCTTGACAAATGTCTACGTGTAAGATCAGTTCAAACAATGCGCAACAGTTCCCAAACCAGGAAAACTGGACTGGTAGGAGGCCACGTTCGAACTCTTCCCACCTCCCCCCTTAGAAATCGTAGGGTGGTGGGGTATGTTTCGCATGTGGCCTCCGAATTGCATGGATAATGAAATGCATGTTGCGCTTTCACACGACACGCGTTTTCACATTCAACTGGGAACCATTGCTACATCAAAACAGCATCAGTCTGGTCAACTTTGCCAATACAATGGCGTGGCGCCAGCGTTTTTCAGGAGACGAGGCTTTGCTGAAGAGTGGCGGCACCTGCGTGAATGTAGCGGCTACATTTCCAATGGACAGAATGTGCAACATCGAAATCACAGATGCGCCCATCGAAAACTCTCCAATGAGTCATCCAGGACGCTATCAGAAGTCTGAAAGACGGCAAGTGTGGAGCGGTACGGCCACTGACAAGAATGGTGGCTTTGCGGTATTGCAGAAGCAACGCTTTGTTAAAGCGCGCGCTGAAAACTTAAGGTGCACATCGCGGTATCTGATATGGCATTCTCCTATCGTCGTGTTCATACTCAAGACGTGTAGGCAGAATGCGCTCACATGTGCGAGCTGGCAGCTGCCATAAAAGTAAACCAGATCAATCCCGGTCTTCTTTGCGCGCTCTGCAGTCGCACAAGCAGTCCAGAGAGCAATCGTTGCAAAAATGGGCCGACGCAAAAATCCATGAATCGAATAGCAGTTGCTCGATACGCCTTCTTCACACGATGCAAAACAGCAGCGTGTTTGCACCAGCCATGAGGTACGTTTCGGGTACGCTACCATGCCATCTACAGAAGGTTCCCCATTCCCTCGAATAGTTAAGCCAATTCACTCATTCACATCATCAGCGTTATACTTTTCTCCCTCGGTCACGATGTTGAAAAGCTCCATGAAATATGGGTAGTGCTCACATGTCACCATCAATCACTGTATTGATATTGCAAGGATGGAATATGATAGAGAATGGATGGCGAAATCTCGGAGTGGAATAGAAATGATTGGCAGCAGGGAGGTGTCTGACAGTGCAGTCTACCAAGTGGCAGGAAAGGACTGGGTCAGCGATGCGGCCTATCCGGAACCAGTTTGAGTGCAATGATAAAACTTCGTTTCCAGGATGATATCGTTGTGCTCCTCGTTTGGCCCAGGCAGTATTACCAGTCGTGCGTTCGAATGTCAAGTGAGAAAGCGCGCCCTTCATCCTGGTACATGACAGTGTAAGGCGCTGCACTGGTCAGTGTCTTAGATGATCATTTGCACCGCCAGTGCGACAGCAAGTTTTACAGCTATCGTGCGCATGGGACGGCAACGAGCATCTGACCCCCACTGGGTGCTGATAGCTTCATCGCCCCCCTTGTGCTCAAGGCGTGGTCACTTCCAATGGCTAGGAGGTATTATCGGCTATCCTGTTCCCCCTTCCTGGCCCGAGAGAGCATAAGTGTCTTTGCCAGGTGGTTGGAGTCGTCGGGCACGAGTGCATCGATAGCAACTGCAGCAAACCAAAAGCAACCCACAGCTTCACGTCGTAGCAACAAGCATGAAGAGGAAAGCATGTACGTGGCTATGCCCTGATTTAACCATTGGTATTCGGCGTATGTTCCATGAATGTGAACAATAAAGGCTTGAACAAGAAGTGGTCTGGGGTCACGCTCAAAGTATCATGGAAGTGACGGGATCCCTATTTGGCTCAGAGGCTTAGGGGCCCGAGTTCAGATGTTTGTGAATAATGCGCGAAATGCTTGATCCCGTTAAGACGGCGGGCTGGGGTAGGTAGGCAGTTCGATTTGCATGTCTGTCTTGTCGTCATCATCATGAGCATCAGCATCAAAAGGAGGAGGCCCGGTAGGACGAGGTGCAGCAGAAGACGAGCGCCCCCGCCGCCCCCCCCCCCTCGCCTCGGGCGAGCAAGGGAAAAGCATGGCAAGCTCCCGTCGGGCGAGGGGCCCAAGGCAGCGCCAAGGAGGCCCAATCCGTCTCCGAGGCCGGGCCGCGAGGAACCGTGCCGATGCACGGTGCGGCCGCCGGCCAGGGGCACGTCGTCACGTCGCCTCTCGAGCGCACGCCGGGGCTTCCGGGGAGTACGCGGCACCCTTCTGGGCGCTGGGCCCTGGGCCATCTCCTTCCCCCTCAATCATCCAACCCTCCCTCCCTCCCTCCCTCACCTCAGATGCTGCTACTGGCGTCGACATGCCAGAGGATGCCCGGCCGGCCTCCGAAGGGCGCCCGTCCCCCCGACAGATCCAATAGCTGCGCATGCCCTGCAGGAGGCGCCCCAGGGTGAGCCCGTTCGGCGTCTGAGAGCACTCGGCGGCCGAGTGGGCACGGGATTGAGCGCATCCGGCTGCCCAACAGCCAAACTTTGCACCACACTGTCGGAATTGATTCCATTCGGTGGCTGACTCGGCGGCCGAGTAGGCTCAGGCGCCGAACGCCGAACGGTCTCACTTGACATCGCGTCGGAAAAACACACCAAACAATGCGAACTAATGCACCACACATTTCCGCTCAGAGAGATAGAGCGGATATGTCCGCAACAGAAAATAGCAAGAAACAAAAACGGGAAAACCTGTCGGAAATCGGCATCAAAAGAGCTTGAAAGTAGGGTGAACAATTTCGGCCTACTTGCGACATCGTCCAAAAAACGGCGGGGTCGCGTGTTGTTCGCGCCGTCACTCGTGCTGCGCGGGCATCGGAGGAGGCGCGGCCACATCGGACCTGTCGGATGAAAAAAGCTCCAGCTTCACCGAAAGCCTGCCCTTCGACACGCCCTGCAGCGGCTCCACGATCTCGAGGGCGTGTGCCGTCTGACCCACGCTGCGCACCAGTATCACCAGCTTGCCCAAGAAATCGTCATCGCCCTGCACCGCCTTGTCGTCGCAATCCCAAACAGACAGCTCGATGTTCTGACGGAGGTGCTCCTCATGGACCGCAACATACAGGTCCTCATGCCACTTGGGGTTGTTGTCGTTCTGGATGGTGCGGGTCCTCTGCCTCTGGAAGCCCAGCTGAACGACGCCGTACGGGTCCGACTTGTTCAACATATCGGCACCGATCAAGTCAAAAGCCTCAATGAACGTAACCCGCAGCGTTCCCACGGTGCCCCAGAGCTCGCCATCCGCAGGCTTGGGCAGCACGTGCTCCCTCACGAAGGACACCTGCCTCCTCGCGTAGCTCAGAGGGTCCACACACGAGGCATCCATCTCGTGCCCCGTGATGGCGCGGCCCAGGGTCTCTCCCATCTTCCTGATTCCATACCTGGGAGGAGGAAGACGATAACAGCGAATCGCTGCATCTCACTGCCATCCTCATTGTTAGAGGGCTGCCCCTCGATCAAGTCGACTAGGCGGAATGCATGCTGCAACGTGGATTGCACTCACAAGGAGGAGGAGGAGGAGGAGGAGGAGGAGCAGCAACAGCAGCAGCAGCTGCAGCAACAGGAGGACGAGGAAGTGCATGAGCCTCTGAGGGCTGCCAGCAGTCGCTCAAAGACACCCGAATGTTTGCCCAGCCTGGCCACCTAAGAAATCAACTTCTACTCCCGCTGGACTCCGCCAACCTTCCACCTGCGAAGCCGCCATCGTTCAACTTCAGCCGCCTTCCGCTGGCCTCCGACGACGGAGGGACGTCACTGGCAGCCTCGGCTACGTAGGCGACGCCCTTTTTGGAACGCCCTGTTTCTGCTCCCTTCTCTGTCAGGGGCGCCAGATCAGGAAGTCGATGATGCCCACGAAGTAGACCCTTCTGGAGCCGGCCGCCGGGATGATTCCACCGTGGCCGTCCGCCCAGCTGCCGTCCGAACCTCTGGGAGGAGGGGCAGTCACAGAGGTCACTGCCCCGCCCGTAACACGGAGGGGGGGAGAAGAGAAGGTGAGGATGGATATACACATCTTCCACGACTGACTGTGCTGAGCCTGTCCCGACGACGCTCGACACAGGGCAGCCGCGCAGTGTTGGAGGATGCTCGGGCAGTCCGAGATTCAGCTTCCATGAACGAAGCAAAAACGATTCATGTTCAGAAATGGAGTGTCTTGAGGATCTGAGGGGAACCTGCCACTGATTTGCGTGAGGCCACCAGCTTGCGGGAGGGCGGCTCGAAATAAGAACCAATGCTTGACCGTCGACCAACAGAGGCAACGCTTGGTGAATGTGGGTCAGGGTCGTGAATTCCAACTAATATGGAATAGTCCATCACCCCAAAATAAGTGAGAAAACTCACATCCCGCTCGTGGGCCGCGGAAAGCTGGGCGCGCACTTTGGGCGCGACCAACAGCAACTCATTGGCGGTCATCCAATCGACATCCTTGCCGATCTTCTCGTTTCCCTTCCGCTTGCGACCCTGCAGTGAACCTTTCAAATCGAAAGTCTGGTGTATAGGATACTCTGGGTCAAACACAGAAACCATGATCGAAAAATCCGCCACCGTGCCGCCAGCACGCAGTGGAGTGGCCCGAGGTTAATGCAAGTGTGAGTTTAGCAGCTATAGTACATCAGGGTCGTAGGACTTTTAAGGGCCTCGGCCACAACCTCGTCTGAACTCTTGTGCGCACTCTGGCGCTTCCGGAGATCAGCGCGTGGGCCCCCGGGACATGAAACCCGCCCAAATCGACCCCAACATCCAGCAAGCGCATTTCAGACAAACTGCAACAGGCACAGGATGCCATGGGAAGGTCCAAGGGTCCCCAAGACACCCTAGGAGGCCCAAGAAAACGATTCAAGAGAGGCTCGAAGACGCTGCAGAAGAGGCCCTGGCTGCCAACAGATGCTTAGACTCTGATGCTTCTCAACGTTTGACATGTCCGGCTTCTCGGCTCAGCACTGCGTCAAGATGGCAGCGCTGAGCTCCAAGACCGTCCAAGAAAACCCCCCATAATCACAAACACTGTCCGAAAGGGCCACACGAGGCCCCCAAGACGGTTCCAAGAGAAGTCCAAGAAGGTTAACTCGAACAGGCCCCAGAGTCCCTCGCCCCCAAGATAGCCCCCAAGACCGCTAGTGATCCCCAAAGAGCCCCCGAGGACACCCCAAAAACAAGCAAAACAACACGCCCCCAAATAGGCCCCCGAGAACCCCGAAGAGGTCTCTCAAAAGACCCCCAGCAACCACACACGGAAGCGGGATGGGCCGCAAACCACTAGATCCGCAGACCATGTACACTGCCGGAGGCGCTTTGGCGTGCCAAAAGATATGGCTCTTCTGGATCCTTCCAAACAGATTCCTGGTGGCCTCAGGCGCAAGTTGCAGGTGCGGGCCTGACAGGCCGACTTTACAGTTATAGAAAGTCCAACCCTGTGTCCTCCACTTTGGCCGCGATGGCCCACTATGGCCGACGAAGATGGTATCCGATGCCGTCCAAGACGGCTAATGTCTTTTTTTCGGAGATCCCAGAAGTTGTTCAATGGTCTTGGCGTTCGAGCCTCTTCGGGCTGCCGACAAGCCAATGCGGCAAGGCCTCCGAAAAAACACCCGAGACTGCCCAAGATTGCCCAGTAAACTCCCAAGAGAGCCCCCAGATGGGCCAAACGAGCCCAATTAAGGCCCCAAGAGGGCCCCGAGACAGCCCCACGACGGCCCCAAGAAGGCCCACAAAAAGGCCTCCGAAGGCGTCAGCCTGGCCAAATGAACCCGAAGACAACCTGAAGGCCCCCAGAGGCATCCATATATGGACTGGCACGTATGAGCCGACGGGCCAAACTCCTGCTTTCTTTCAAAACTTTCGTTGGACTGGGGCCCTGGCTTGCCCATGAATGCGGCCAGATTCCCGTCTGTTTTTCGAGCTCGTGTTCAGCCATGACCCGCGAGGGCGCCCCGAAAAAGAACAGAAAACTCGAACCGTTCGCAATCGCTCCCAGCGGCGACGACGACGAAGTCGGGCGCGCGAGCCCTCCCCCGCCTTGTTGGCGCCACCGCCTCGGGCACGAATGCTGCGCGCCCGCCGTCCCGCAAGCGGACGCAGCAGGAGCGGCAGGAGGAGGGGGCGAGGAAGAGAGGAGAGGGCAAGGGCCCGGACAAGCCCGCGACCCCCCGGAACCCAGACGGGGTTGCCGTCAGAAGGACAGCAGGCGCCAAGCCTGAGGGGTGAAACACACCAAGAGGCCACCAAGAGGCCTCGAAGATGCCCCCACGAGGCCACCAAGAGGCCCCCAGGAACCCCCCAGGAGGCCCCCAGAGGGCTCCAAGAGGCCTCTCTCTCCTCTTCTTCCTCTTCTTCCTCCTCCTCCTCCTGCTCCCCCCCCTCCTCCTCCTCCTCCTCCTCCTCCTCCTCCATCTGTTCTTCCTCCAACTGTTCCTCAAGAGTTGTTTCACAATGGCTGGGGAACACACATAGTCTATATCTTTGCCAGGCTATACCCTAACGTTTGGCCACATAGGCGCTTCCGAAAGACAGGGGCCAGCGATGGTTCGCCGTAAGCGTCTTCGATACTGCCATCCAATCTCGGGCAACAGTACTCGGTAGAGGCCCGCGTACTTGACAAGAAGGGAGCGATTCTTGCCACGCAGGTGAGCCTGGTAGCTAGGTAACATGCGTTGGAGCAGGTGACCTTCCTCAGCGGAGATGGTCTTTATAAGAAACTTCCGATCGCCAGAAAAATAGAAAAATTCTCCAGACTTGGAGTTAGTGGCTATCGTCTTGTAAGGCAGCGACTTGCAGCCCAAGGACTGAACGAGCTGCTCGGGACTCGTGGCCACGCTGGCGTCGATGCCCGCAAATAGCTCGGCCCCGATGCACTCGCAAAAAGCCTCGCTGCTCTCCTGATGGGCCGATTTCCCACCACCACTACCATAGGTAGGAGAGGGAGGAGGAGGAGGAGGAGGAGGAGGAGGAGGAGGAGGAGGAGAAGGAGGAGGAGGAGAAGGAGGAGCAGGAGGAGGAGGAGGAGAAGGATGAGGAGGAGGCGAGGAGGAGGAGGAGGAGGAGGAGGAGGAGGAGGAGGAGGAGGAGGGGGGAGGAGAAGGAGGAGGGAAAGAGGAGGAGGAGGAGGAGGAGGAGGAGGAGGAGGAGGAGGAGGAGGGAAAGAGGAGGAGGAGGAGGAGGAGGTCCCCATCCTCCATTCTCCCCAGTCCTACCTATGGCAGTGGTGGTAGAAAATTGGCCCATCATCTCCACTTCGGTCGCCTCCTTCTGCCGCTCGGCCTTCCGCCACGACACGCAGCGGCACGAAACGCAGCTCCGGGCGGGCCCCCAGCCGTGCCAGCTGCTGGTAACGGCGAATGTCCGGAGGGCAGATGGCACCCATTGGCGGTACCGCATCACCGCCTGCCAGGTGCTGGCCTGCGGCAGAGAACTGCACAACTCTTTGAAGAGCGCGCGCTGCCTGGGCAGCCGGGAGGAGGCCCCCCGCCCCAACCCACGCTATCAGTCCGACACTTCGACACTTGGACACTTCGACAAGGTTTCGTCCTTCCTCCTGCTTCGGATGGTGTTGCTCCTCCCTCTCAGCAGCAACCTCACCCTCCACCCCCTCCACCTGATCCCCTTCCCCAGTCAATCTTCTCAGCACATCAACTGCTCCTCCTCGACTCCACCTGCTCCTCTCGAACTGGTCCCCCTCCTCCTCCTCCTCCTCCTCCTCCTCCTCCTCCTTCTACTTTCTCGCCCTCCATTTTTGTCCTTCCCATTTTCCTCGTACTCCTCCGACTCCTCCGGCTCCTCCAGCTCCTTCAGCTCCTCCTCCTCCTCCTCCTCCTCCTCCTCCTCCTCCTCCCCTTCCGCGTTAGCCGTTCTGGCACATGTGTTGTGCTTGTTGACGCCAACTTCAGAGCGGCACTGCGTCAACGGGCCATTGGCTCTGCGTAGGTTTCTCTCAGTGATCGCGGGTGTATGACGCCCGAGCTTCCCATTCAGCGCCATGGTGGTGGCAAAGGACAGGGGCGAGGAAAAGGTTTCGGTCGGGAGGATTGGGCCCGTGAATCACCTCCCTGGCACCGCCCTAGCGCATGTTCGTATTCTTCCTGGTGGCATGACTCCACAGAAAAAGGCAACGACGGCATCTCGAAGGTCAAGTGCAGCACGTGTGGTTGCGCCAAGAACCAGAAGTCGTCGCGGTACTGCAAGCACTGTGGCTCCCCGCTCGCTGCTGTGCGCCCTGCTGACGGTAGTCCTCCTTCCAGCGGTGCTTGGACTCAGGTCCCTCCTGGGGTGTTCAGCCCGCCGCCGCCCTGGACCATGCAGCCCAAGCAGCCTCACGGTCAGCCCTTTCTCCAACCTGGGCAGGCAGCAGCAGTTCAGCAAGGAGGTGGAGGTGCCTATGCAGGCGCAGGGGCTCCAAGGCGACCCCCCTCCCTGTGGGCGCCCAGAGTCAGCTCCTGGCTTCGGAGGCCAAGCAGCTGGCCGATTTGGCTCGCAAGGGAAGAGACCTGGTCACCGCATCCAAGTACGAGGCTGAGGTCAAGCGTCTCCACGTCCAAGAAGCCCCCAAGCGGCCAACGCCGTTGCACCAACGCGTCCAGCAGCAGTTCGCAGTGGTCTCACGGCTGGAGAAGGTTTTTGACAATGAAGTGGGTAAGTTACTGGCGTAAAGGAACGGCATCCTGCAGCTCGAGAATGTTGCGCGCGCAATGCGAGCTGAACTCGAGCAGGCAGACACGGTCTACAAGTCCCTGGTCACGGAGTTGCAGCAGCAGGCGTCCATTGGTCAGCCCCCCTGGCGTTGGCCCTGCCGAGCTCAAGCTCGAGGATATTTGCAACGAGTCCTTCGACATGGCCACTGCGCTCAACATCGATGAGGTTTGCTTATTCGAGGGCGACGAAGAGCTCGGACAGCAGGACGGTGACGAGATTGCCAAGCGGAAGGATGACCTCAGTGCGGGCGTTTCCAAGCTGGCGAAGGAGCTGTTGGGCCCACTGGTGGCTCCTGCCAAGCAAGCCCGAGATGCGCATCGATAACACCTCACTCGCTTGGCGGCCAAGAAGAGGCGCACCGAAGATGGCGCAATCGCAGGCGGTGGAGGAGCTCACATACCCGCACCTGAGGGCGCACGTGCTGATGGCCAAGTACTCGCTGAGCCTGCCCCTGAGGGCAGCGGCGCCAAGCCCGAGGCAGCTGCGCAGCCGACCCATGGGGGTGGAGCCCCCCGCTCGGCTGGCGATGCGCGGACCAAGGCAGAAGAAGCCCTTCACCCTTCCCCCCTGCCCATGGCGGGGCGGGGGGAGGAGCTGCAGCGTAGCCTGGCCGCGCATCCGCCTTTGCGTGTGCCTGTCAGCAGCAGCGCCCACCATGCGAAGCCAGTCTGGCCCCGACCTTGGGTGAGCACGGAAGTCTTTCTCGTCTCTGGCCTCCAGCAGGCCATTGTTGCCCCCAGGAATTCCAGGGAACGTGCATGAGCCCTGGGTGCTCTGGGTGGCAGCCCCCATATTTGGCTGAAGACGTGCTCAGGATATATGGTCACAGGACGCCGCACCTT